AGTTAGGCTTATCTGTCGTTGAACTAACGATGAGGGGGAGGTAGCTCATCGATTCTTCCGGTTCACCTCCTAGCATCGTGCTATAAGGTACCAGGCGATAACCAGGGTAGTTGATCGATAGCTCGATGACGTCATTTCGTTGGCGTCTGCAATGGGAAATTCTTATAGCAGGCGATGACGATGGGACGTTGTCGAGTTGTTGAATAGCAACTATCGTGGTAACTCACCGATTACCTGTCGATCTGCCAAATTTGGAAAGACGTCTGCATTGAATTGTCTCATATAATAATATTCCGCCCACTATATCACAAGAAATTGCGAGTAGCTGAGTGGAATGGAGATAAGTTAAGCATTGGGTACAGGACCAAGTCTCCCCTGGGGGGTGCCAAAAGATGAGCGCAATAGAATCATCAAGTTGCCATAAGGCACGGAATGAGACTATTGCATGGCTGGGTAGTCAAAGTCTTCCATTCGTTAGTCATTTCAGGTGGATTAGAACAGGTTTAGGTTTAGGGTGGGCGTTGGCCAGATTTGGATTTTTCAGATATAATCCTGAATGGGACCTAGATTATTTAATACACTAGTAACCTCAACTTCTGTCACAATGTTTCATTGTGACTGGTCAACACTCAATGGGTAAAATATCAAATTTGCGGTAAATTTGAAAAAAAAAGGTAACTTGGCGTTTAGAGCGCACTGCCCACTGGACGATTCTGAAGCCTGACCAAGTGAGTGGGTTACGGGTTTATTTGATTGTACGTCATTTCCAAGTTATATATATAGATACATTCATACCATTGGCATTTTGTATTTGAGATAAGACAGAGACAGGATGCGGAGGGCCTGCTTAGGGGGAGCGTAATCCATGTTATGGCTTCCATTTATTAAATAGTTCAGATAGGCTGGAAATGATAGGTTCATGGTGAGAAAATGTACCATATGGTGCCCGTTCACTGATCAAAATTAGATTCAAATCGTCAGGCCCTGCCCTGGAATAAGGGGATTGACGATGATTTGTCAAGTTTCATTTTGCATTTGCATATAATTGTAAGTTTAGGTTTGCTTTTATAATTGTAAGATAGATAGTTTGCCTCAATTGAAACATTGAGTTGTATAAACTTGACGAATCATACCTCTAAAATAGTAGTAGTTACAGTGCCGCATTATCTAACAACCACTGCCTGCAACTAATGTTGGAGGGGTCGGCAGGGCTGATTACGGATCAAAACTAACATAACTCTAACACTGAAATGATCCCGAAACTAACGCTCATTCATTGCACTTTGAGTCATAAAGTAGTTTTATTTATTTCCCTACTAATCTATCTACACACTTAGTTTTTTCTACCGAGCTCGGCTGTGCGGGTCTCGGCGGGGAGGGTTTCGCTGAGATCTCGGCGGGAGTGACATTTGATTGAGGTCTCGGATAATGCCTTTTCTAATAATCTGCCTACGTTTCTTTTCTTTGTTATCTACTTTAACCCCTTTTTTATTTTTCTGCTCTTCTTTCCTCTTCTCTTCTTTTGTTTTGTTTGTTTACATTTAACTTATACTAATACCTCCTTGTTTTCTCTCTAATTTGTCTACTATGTCCCACCATCACGATGAGAGATGAGCTACCGTACATGGTACACGCTCATATACACTCCCAAAATAGTATGCCGCAAGTAAGTATATCACAGAGGCAACTAAAGATCCAGAAACAAAAACCGATAACGCTGAACGGCAGATTGGTTTACAGTGGTCGACCAGGGTGTGTGCTGATAAATTACAAAATTACAATTACATCATTATTTCATACATCAGTTTGAATTACGTTGATCGATATTACATTTTTTTTTGCTGTGCACTACACCACCGGAGCTAGCAAAGTTCAACAATCCATCGTTGCTTATGCCTTTGTTGTCGTTTTTAACCAGTTTTGCGAGGTAGACGACGATTGTGCGTATTTCTCGCGTAACTTTTGAAAAGGGCCTAGCCTGAACAATACGTAAAGAGCAAATTGAAACATTGTACGTCGCGTGAAAGTGGAACTTAATGAAGGCCTAAGTACTTTTTCGTAGTTTTTAGTTTTCGGATTTGAAAGATCGTCGGTTACAGTGGCCTGCTTACTGAGCAGAAAAACGCGGTCCCAGGTCCTTACATATCAAAGAAATTTATGGTAAAATCGCTTGTGTAACGTGTATTTTGCCAAACTCGTTGTTGTCGTTGGTTCCGGGTTTGAATGGATACAAAAATTTGAGCAACGGTATTATGTGATATGAGGGGCTCGGTGGCCTTAGAGCAACCGTTTTTGCTTCCTGAGCAGAACATCATGAGTCTAATCTCAGGCCCATCCACATTCAAGATTCGTCAATCGTTTTATTTGTTAATATGACTACATGGTAATAACAGCAACTCGGTGATTAAAAAGGTGCTCGTCTGCCTAGTGGTAAACGTTTTGAGCAGAAGACCGTGGGTTTAGTCCCAAGCTCCTTCGCGTTATATGATCGTTAGGACATCAATTCAGCTTATCGTTTACCAAAACGAACCCTGCTGCAAACCCAACCCTCTTATCCAACATCCCAGTGATTCCTCGTGGAAGTGCAGAGGTGTTCTCGGCTTCCATCAAAGCGAGTGTCATGTCAACACAATCCTTTCCATTCCTTTCTTGACCTGTGTTCGGGCGCGGCCGGCGCTGGTATTGCCTAATTTAAGATCACCAGTTTTTACACATTGAGGATGATTGCTAGTCCCAAGCATCGTCTATTGGTTCTCTGTGTAATTACAGCTGATCTGGCAATAACAGAGTAGCAACCGTGGGCGGTCAATCAAGCTCAAGCTCAAGCTCTGTCGTTGAACTAACGATGATTGTTTAATTGTTTTGTTTAACACATTTTAGGTCATTCGTAACCAACCCGAGGTGACATTTGAGCTCAAGTCTTTCAACGTGAGAAGCTTGGATGCTAACCATTTATACCAGGCCCGTATTCAGTCAAACATTATGAATGCAAAATCAGTAATCAAATTGATTTCATTGAAAGCAGGATTAGTTTTCTGTTTGATTCAACAGTGTAAAATTTTGCTCTCATTTTTGATGTGTTAACCGTTAAGTCAACCAAAATGAGATCAAATGGAGTATTCAAAATAAGTTACATCATAACAGCAAATTTTGATTTCAATTTGATCTCTAACTTTGCTCGGGCATTCTTTATAGGAAAGACCCGTGCCTTGGTGTCTTAGCTATATTGTCAAGAACTAGCACTTCAGCAGTTGAATTCCGGGCATAAATTTCAACGAAGCGATGGAAATGTATGTATTTTTGATTGAATAAATTAAACACACTGAACAAGCTCTTACTCGGATAAAGTACGTGTAAATTATGAATTGGTAAAATATCAGAATCTAGACCTTTGAAATCCGGTATCTAAGAAACCTGATAAAGATCCTGATTTTTCATACTTTTGTCAGATGACAAGATTATTCAATATATTTAAATCTTAATTTTTTCTTACTCTCTAATCTCGAAGTATGTTCCTGTAGAAAATGCTGTAAGTCTCAGAATCTAGGGAAGTTTCCCAAGATCTTGAATTACAAATATTGTCGAGGAAATTCAACGCTTATCAAAACCTTTCTTAAATCCCTAAAATTTATTTTGAACCAAATTAAATTTTTTAAGGAATATTTATTTTCTGGAGTTTGATTGAGTCAAACATATTAATATTATTAAAATATCATTTCATTTGTTTTTAGTATTCATGTACTAGCATTTTTATGAAATGACTGCTATGAAAGATCTTGTAATTTTATCTTAGTCTTAGAATTATGACAATTGCACTAATATCATTGACTTTCATTTACATTTGTATTCGAGTAATTTATACTTACAATCTGTATCATAGATATATTTTTTTTAATACAAAATATTGAAAACAAATCGGTTTGGGATCTCAAAACTATTGATATTTTCACATTCAGAATGTTAAGCATTGTGCGTGGAGATATATCTTGAACATTTGCCTGAGTCCTAAATGTATGAAATTTATTCTGTCCGCCAGAATTTAAGAAAATTATAAAATTGTAAAATAATATGTCAAAGATTTAACTGATGATGAAATATTCCAAAACTAAAAAAAGCTAGTTACGAAATTCATTGAATTAGCTAGCTCTTAGAATTTTCTTAAGTTAGAGATGCTTAAATTTATAAGATCTGGACACTATGTGATTTCGTTACAAAAAGCATGAACAAACGATCATTGCTTGTTCAAAATCAGTAAGCTTTTAAGGCTCCTCCAACCGAGGTCCTAATCATTGCGGGAGTTCTTGTTCATCCATTAAAACAATAGTGATCCTCAATGTCATGTTATTTGTCACAGAAAAATGTTCCCAAAATTAAGTTGCCTTGATGAAATTTGATAGAATAGCATCTTCGCGAGTTTTTATTTGACCGTATTATAGCAAAAATAATGCAACAGGCCCCCACTAGGTCCCCTCTGGATAAATTTTCTAGCTACACCAATGCACCATTAGAATGTTGTAATGTTGTTGTCTTCCTTTCATTTCAGCAGCTTACACTATTTTCCTCTTTTCAGCAGCTGACAGCTATTTTCCGTATTCTTGACTATTCAAAAAATGAAAGATGACCGTTTTTGATTTGACAAGTAATTTCAGTACCTCCGGCAAAATAACATGAGAATGCCGAAAGTTCTTCAATTTCTTTTTCAGACATCGGCAGTATGACACTTTCCAAACAAGATCAGTGATTACAGGTGATTACCTTTGACGAATCTGGTCAATGATTTATTTTATCTCATAATTTCGGCAAATTTTCAGTTTACTGAACGGCTACGGCAATACATTTCGTTGAGGACAGATTTTGGTTTTAAGTGTGTAGACGACTGATACACATAAAAACATTAAAATGTGTCCCCATTTGGAAAACCGTTGACAAGTTGCCAGCATTTGCTCGATCATTTGTTCGAAGTTCCACTCCTGTGCTCCTCCCCCAATTCCGGTACTCACCTTGGTGAAAAAATCACAAACAACCTTCCTGGCATGCATCAGCTCCTTGTAGTGTCTTGTCATCCTAAAGACGACATCGGTATACAAATGCACACTCATCATTCTCCTCGCCGCCCCGTTGAATGCTCTGTAACGATTTCATGCATGCAATTTTAACCACCCGCACTCACATCCGCTGTCGTTAATCACACTCACTGATCCAGCCCCTGCTCGAACTCCTCTTTGCCTTCCCTCTGCAGTACATCGCTTCCCAGCGTGGTACCGCAGGCCATCTCCAACGTGCAAAGAGCCGTATACTTGTGGATATTGACCGTTTCCCCATCGGAATACTCACTCAAACGAGCCACCATTTTGTCGGCACATTTTGCGAAAATCGGAACAAACCCGCGAATGATCCGTTGGTTGAAGGTCGGATTCAATCGCTTCCGCGCTTCCTTCCAAATATGATCTGCAAAAAACGACGGTTAGAAGAAGGATTGCTTTTGAACACTTTCACTCCTCTCCCTCTCGGACGACATACACTTGGCCGTGAAGAGCCCTTGTTCGAACCCGGCAAATCGGTACAGGAACGGCTTCTCCAAGCAATGTGCACTGCCTAGAATCTGCTGGATAAAATCCGGATGACTCGTCACTAGCAAAAGCTTTGGCCCAACCCAAGCCTTCATAATGCGATCCGACGCAATGCACACATCTCTGATCACTTCGAACCGTTCGACGTCGCTTTTCCCGAACACAATAGGTGCGTTGCCAATCAAAGGATACACCGGTTGCAAACAAGGCCACTTGTCCGCGAATCGAAACCGAGCCCGGCGATGAATCCAGTACAGGACCGCACCGAGTGACGATATTATCACTGTCAAAATCAGAGACCACATTTCAAATTCGAATTCCGCCCTACAACCAACCAGCCCGACTAAAGTATCGCGAGCGACTGGCTAAACCAACTACGCACGAAAAGCTTCTGCTGAGGCTGAGGCTTGGGCGGTTGTAACCGCAATTTGAAAAATATGATAATGCGTGAGCTCGCATCTGATACTTGGCAATGAACAGTGTGGTGGTAATGGAAAATTCTTTCGTAATGGCTCGGTCTAGGTTACTGTCCATCAAGGATACTGAGATTAGCACATTTTTGCCCGCCATCACGAGCGAAGGTCTTGCAACACGCAAATAATCATGCGTCTTGCTCTTAGGAACTTCCTCGTTCTTCCTCTCATGGACACACCTGATATCCTGTTGTTATTTTGGATATATCTCAGCGAAAAAAAATATAATTTGATGCGAATTTTGCACGGATTTATGGTAATTATTGTTACGTAACTTTAAAAAGTAAGAGGTTGTATCCAAGACACGACCATAGATTTGACGCAGGATTACGAAAGGTAGTTATTGGACTGCCAATGAATGTATGGGAAAAATTTGACCATCCAATTTCGCTAACAAACCATATACAAAATGTTTATTGCCTCGAAAAATGACCCTATGCAAAATTTGAGCTCAATCGGACATGATTTAGGGGTGGCGCAAACGCGTCAAAGTTTGACTTTTTTCACTCTCGAAAATCTCCCAATGGGGGGGGGGGGTACATGACATTTCGGAAATCGATTTTTTTTTTTATGCCAAATGTCTTAAAAATGCATGAAACGTCGAGATTTGGTGTTATCTCGAATTTTTTTTTTTTTCAAAAATCGACTTTCTGGGACTTAGAATTTTTTCATGAGTTCTATATGCAATATAGAAGATTGATGAGTCGGCTTCTAAAACTGTTCACAATTGTCTCCAACCTGCTTATATAACAAATTAAACCACCATTTAGGATCTAATACGAAATAATTCACTAGGGTGGTCCAATTATTCTTCATTAGGGTGGTCCAAAAAATCAAAAATATATGAAAAACTACAACTTTTCGCCAGAAATTCCTAAAATCAATTGTAAAAATATCTTGAATTGCGTTAATCTATTTTTTTTTTTTTTGGAATAATGAGTTTTACACAAGAGGAACATTTGCCTGAAAAGATGAAAAAATACTTGTTTTATACTTTGCCATAGTAGTTATAATGTCATAGCAAAAGTATAGTAAATATTAAATTGATTTCTTAACTCGTTATCAGTGAAAAATTTCGATAGGTTGAAATTCGGAAGCCATTCAAGTGTTCTGTTTGTGAGGTATATAGCAATCGACCAAATTTTCATTGGCGACCAAAATATCCATTAGTACCGTGTCCCAATGACGCGTTCATCTAGATAAAATTGAAAATAGCAGATTTTTATCGATGGGCCCAATCTGAGATCCATAGGTCAACATTAGAGCCATTTCCAACCTACCGAAAACGTGCGTTTTTTTTTTTATTTTGGGTATGTAAACGTCATTTTGGAAAGGTAATGTCTTCAACTTTAGTTCTTTTGAAATTTCAACTATTATTAATTACAGTTTCTAGTCCTATCAGACCTACACACTTAAAAATAACTATTTTTACACGAGACGTAATCCATCTTTGACGTAAATTTTAGAACGTAAACAAATATGTCATGTAAAATTAAGTGTTCCCAAACCGAAACATGCATAACTCGACGAAAACTACGATTAATTGAATTTATTTTCTCGTTTCTTTCAACTGATTCTTATGTCATTTGGGCCGCTTGCATGTGTCGGTCTCAGGGCACGGAAATTTACATGACTTTTTGGTAGTGTGTATTTTAAAGTATGACCACCTTGGTGAGATTGGTTTGATTTTAATTGGAAAAAGGAAACTACTTATAACTACTATTTACAGCTACAACTAACCTACAACTACTATATACACTAAAGTGTTTCAATATAGGTCAAATCTGGGATTTCAAACGCTACCCTCTGGAATGGTAGTTTTGGGGGTCAAAATCACCCTGCCAAAATTTGAAGTCATTTGGTTCACGGGAACCCCTCGCTCAAACTGCTTGAAGTTTGTATGGGGAAAATCGACAAAATGTATGGGGGAGCGAGCCACTTTCACATTCGCGGCTCTAGGTGGCGCTGTAGTGGGTCGATTTTCTTCGTGTACAAAATGTAGCACCTTTGGAGTATTGGAAACATCTTGGCTCAAGACCGGATGTGAATCCGAGTTGCCCCCGAAAAGTTATTCGCGTTTCAAATGAACACCACCTGCTTTAGTTCTGGAAAGGGCCTAACGCGGTTGTGCAGTTTTTATTTTTACGAACAGGTATACGAATAGCAATGTTTGCATAGGTATAACTTTTTTGTTTAACCATGAAATTGGTTGAAATTTTCACAGTGAGTAGAAAAATGTTCGAAATTATGGTCTACTAAAAATTGGAACAGATTGGCCAAGTGGTTCCGGTTTTATTCCGGGTTTCCGAGAGGCCATCGGGGGGGGGGGGGAGAAAAGGTACCAGTCGTCTAGAACAAGGTGGTGCTGAAAATCCACAGCAACAGGCATCTATGGGTAGTGCTGATTAATATTTTAACAAAATCAACCCATAACCTGGTTCTAAATACTGAGCGTCCACCGGAAGGCCTTCCGATGACCCGGATCAACCTTAATCTGGATTATTATGTATTTTTGATCAAAGTAGGCCTTGATTATTCTCTGCAACTACATGAAATGTAGTAAATTAATGATTTTAGATATATAAGCGTTTCAATGGCTTCAAGTGGTCACCAGATGACCCACCGGAAGATCCGGAACATCCGTAAAATTTATTGCTGCGCAAATTTGATCAAAGTAGGCCTTGATTTTGCTCTGCAACAATGTGAAATGTAGTAGAATGCTGATTTTCGATATGTTAGCTGTTCAATGGCTCCAAGTTATCACAATATGGTCCGCTGGTAGATACGGAACATCCGTAAAATTGATTGCTGTGTAAATCTGATCAAAGTAGGCCTTGATTTTCCTCCGCAATTATATGGAATACAGTAAAATGGTGATTTCTGAAATATTAGCTGGTCATTGGCTCCAAATGGTCACCAGATGACCCACCGAAAGATCTGGAACATCCGTAAAATTGGTTGCTAAGTTAATTTCATCAAAGTATGCCTTGATTTTTCAATGCAACTGTATATATTGTATTAAAATTATGATTTTTTTTATATATTAGCTGTTCACTGGCTCCAAGTGGCTCGCCGAAAGATCCGGAACATCCGTAAAATGTATTGCTGCGTAAATTTGATTAAAGTAGGCCTTGATTTTGCTCTGCAACTACGTGAAATATAGTAAAATGGTGATTTTTGTTATATTAGCTGTTCAATTGTTCCGAGTGGTCACGACATAACCCGCTGGAAGATCCGGAAAATCTGATAAATTTATTGCTGTGTAAATTTGATCAAAGTAGGCCTTGATTTTACTCTGCAACTATGTGGAGTGTAGTAAAATTGTGATTTTAGATACATTAGCTGTTCAATGGCTCTGAGTAGTCACCAGATGGTCCGTGAGAAGATCTGGAACATTTGTTAAATTGATTTCTGTGTAAATTTGAACGAAGTAGGCCTTGCTTTTTCTCTGCAACTATATGGAATGTGGTAAAATGGTGATTTTTTATATATTAGCTGTTCATTGTACCATCAGTAAAATTAATTGCTTCGTATGAGGACAGCTTCAGCGTAGTCGTTAGTAAGTGTGTAGGTGTGTAAGTCACACAAACATCGCATGTATTTAAATCGATTGGCAAACAGGTTGACACACATTTTCATCATTAAATAAAATATTTCAGGATAATAAAAAAAAATCAGTATCTCTGAGCCACACATCTAACGAAGCCTTAAGTTATCCCCTTTCATTTCAGGGTAGTGTTCAAATGTAATTTCGGGGGAACATTTTGACACTACCCTTAAACTAAATGGGATAGTCTAAGATTTTGTTTGGTAAGTGTTTCAGTGATACTGTAAGTGGAGGTGACATTTAGTCAAAAAATCAATAAAAATCGTTCCCTACCTAACAACGTTCACATTTTAGCAAGGAAAACAATGTTAAGCATGTTAATATATTCATCAATAATATATTTACGACTGCCATGGAAATGGTTGATTGAAATTGACAGCTCATTTTACTAAAATTAATTAAAAAATAGACCAATGTAAAACCTTATGGCGGCTGACATTGGGCCAACACATAAATTTAATTAAAATATCTTAACATATCTTAAAATATGTAAATGTATCGTAGCTATTAGGAGTAGACTTGGTTATGATCACAATGTACTTCGTATGTATGGTTAAAGATCGCTTGTAGCCTTCGTCTATTTTCATAAAAGTGTGTTCAAACATTTGTTTGCCTGTGGACATTTAAAAAAAATCTACTACTATTTATGACATTTTAATAAAACAACTAGTTACTGTTATCTACACTTTACCCAACAAACAATTGCCTATTGAAGAAACAACTTCTTGACGATTTTATTCCACTTCATGCTTAATAATACTTGTACTATTTTCAATAATAACTTCTGTTCAGGCTTTGTTCACGCAAATCTGAAGAATTTATTCAACCACAACATCGAAATATTTGGTGTTGAATAAGGTATGTCTAGAAGCTTTTATTCGACATACAAAAGTTGTAACAGAGCTTATTTCGATCAAAGTTTTGATTATTCAGCGTTTATTAGACATCTGTACTTCCTTAAACAGCGATGGTATAAAGGTGTATGTAGACGCTTGATTCTCATGTGAAACAATGTTTAATTATTACATCATTATACATTTATTAAACGATTATTCAACTACGGGATAATTAATCCGAAAATAAGAACGCCACGAGCAGGGTTGTTCGCGTTTGTGATTGTTGTGTCACATTTTTTCTGTCGAATTTATTACATACATACATACACACACATGTCGTTAAATGGGATTCGAACCATGACCTTCCGATCACCAACCGCTTGCCTTGC